CTCTCTGCATGACCTGACAAGATCCTTGTACTCTTCTTGGGTTGCCTGATTAGCGCTTCCAGGAGCAGAAGAAGCCAGCTTGCACAGACCTCAGGTTGTGAGCTGAAGGATGAGTCTGAAAAAGGAGGTATCTTTGCTACTGTGCAAGGGAATGACTTCTTCTGTCAGGCACAGACACATTCCACTTTTCTCTAGAGTACCTTATAATATGGACATAAAAATCAAATAATGCACCAGATTTTCTCTTTGTAATAATGGAATTGCTGCAGTTGTCTCCAATGTCAAATGTACTAACCATGGAAAATTAACTTTAGCCATCTTTAGGACAGAAATTAGGAAGTCAACGGGGACATATTTGGGCAGCAGGGGAGTTTCCCAGGTGGCAATGTAGCCAGCATGGCCATCCGTGCCTTCAATGAGAGAGGAGAGCCAGGTAGTTGACTGCGTAGTCTGGATTCACTTGTGTCTCTTATCTGAAAGATGACATTGGCGGCTGCCCGCTGTCTCCTCACAGTGAATCCTGCGGCAGTTTTTGCAGAGCTGACTCAGGGAGAAGTGCTGACAACAGATTTGTCTAAATCCCTTTTTGAAGTATGTAGCTCTTTTTTGGAGGTCTCATGTCAAGGTACAGACATAGGCTGACTCTGCCTAGTCTTTATTTGTCTGACATAACATCTCTTTGAGTAAGCACTATCTTCCTCTGGAACATTGGTCCTTAAAACCATATTTTGCTGAGCTGGGGAAAAAAAAAAAAGCTTGAAATCTAGGCTGAAAATACAACTCGTGTTGTTGTAGCGTTTGCTTTTCTGTTAGGTAAAGGTTCAGTGAACATTGACTGTTTTGACTACAGAAGTGAAGAATGAGCAGAAAATAAGACTCCAGACTATGTCTCTAATTCCTTTGTGAAGTGTGCATCAACTTTGCTCTCTATTTTGGGGGAAGTTTGGTATCAGAAAACTTGTTTAGGTTGCTTGCCATTAATAGCTGAGGTACCAATTGGTTTGGATCTAGTCAGCCTTCTCCAAGGTAGGAGCAAGATTTGGAGAGAGAACTAAAAAACAACTGAACTTTGAGCTTGTTTTGTTTGGCAAATGAAGTTTCTGTGATCACACTGTGTGTCTGTGTGTTCCTCATGGTTAATCTAAGAGCATTAGAATTATTAGTGTTGTCCAACTGTGCAAGGCTTGGAAAGCCTCTCTCTGCTTCCCTGAAAAGCAGCTTGAAGCAGCACTGTGCTAGTCTGCCACTACATCTCTCCTGTGTTTCCCAGTTTCAGCCAGATGATGAGAATAAGTTAATGTATTGCAGCTTAAGGAGTAAAGAAAAGCAAAACTTGAAGGTGGGAAAGAAAAGTAGAATGAATAAATAATTAAACAATCAGGGCTCTAGGCTTTTGGGAATCAGGGAGGAAGAATGCCCTTGTTCTGTGGTCTGGGTTCAGAGCTCCTGATACAAGAGGTGAGCGAGATTCTGGGACTGGGAAACCAATCACCTGTACTGGGATGAATTTTAGCTAACACTAGGTATCAAGAGAGTAGGTACCTGCAACTAAGCCAGTCCCAGCAGGTTTCTTTCCCAGTAAATAAAACTTAGACCTATTGACAAGGTAGATGGTAGATGTTTGATTGGCTCAGTTGAAGGTGGATGTTTAGAACAGTTCATGTGAATTATGCTCCAAAAATGTCTGGATGCTTTTGTGAAGGGATCTATATGCCTGATTGAGCTGTTATTATCTGCATTGTATTTCTCTAAAGTTGTTGAAAAAACTTCTAGGATGAGATAAATTCTACCCCATCAGAAAGGAGAAGTCTAAAGACTCATCAGCCTGCACTGGTTCTAAGTCATCTTTCTTTGTCCTGCTCCCATGGCTTGCTCCTAGCACAAGATAACACCTTCTAAAAGCCATAGAATCAGAATTTTAGATAAACCAGTCTGGAAATCAGTGACTCAATCTCCCTGTCTAAATGTGAGGTTGACATTCTCTATTTAATTTCTGACATACTCGTCTAACATGCCCCTTTAACACCTCTGATGAGGCAGAATCTGTAACCTCCTGAGATGTTCTGTGCCAGTGGTGAACTCTCCTTGCTGTTTTTCAGCTATCTTACCCCAGATTCCCTTGCTATAAATGAAGCTACTTTTTCTTATCTACTGTGAATGTGAGAAACAGATGATTCCTTTCTCTTTGAAAAATCTGTGGACTGCCATAAGCCTCATCAATTTTCTTTTCTTTAGGCTGAACAATTAGTTCAGCCTTTTATTGTTTTGACTTCAGGCTCAAACCTGTCCTTGAAAGAGGGAGTGTGCTCCTTCTTTGTATCATCTCCCTTCTCTGTTTTATGTATTTCAGGAAGAGACATTGCATATCCCCCTGGCATTCAGTTAAGAAAAGTCAGTTAATTAGGGATCCATCAAAGAGCAAAACAAGCAGTCGGCACTATACATTGCAGTTTCTGTTCTCTTCCTTGATGTACAGATGGTTTTCATATTAAGCACACTGTTTATCACATGAAATACAGAATCAATATATACCACCCCCATCGTAATTCCTAGCAATCACCTCCATATCTGACCTAATTGATAGACACAACAGCCACGCACACTTCCATCAAGAGAACTGCAGATGGCACGTGAAGATGCATGGGAATGACCATAAAATTAAGAAGTAAATACTCCTTGTTTGTCAAGCATCAGTGGCGATGCTATTTTCATAGAAAGTTTTTGTGGGAAATGTAAGCACAAAAACACTATATTAATGAAGCACATGTTACGTCAGACAGCTTGTAAGAAGAAAAATTCCTCAGCGTAGAATATGGCAGTGGCTGCTTCAGGCATTGCTAGCCTGCAATTCTGGACACTTTCCCAGAAATCCCAGGTTTTCTTTAACCGATGGTGGTTCAGTTTTCAAAGAAGAGAAGGCAGAGGATGTTTTCTATAGCCCTCAGCTGCTTCTTGGCAGAGATTAGGGTTTAAGGGCCACGCTCACAAGAATATTTGCAATCAGCTATTATTTAGGCACCTAAATAGGATTTGGCAGTGTAAATAACTCATGGGATTGCCCCTAAATGAGAACATCTCCTTGGCTTATACAGATATTTCTTTCTTAGCACTGAAAAATACGAGAGTTTTTGAGGCTGGCAGTATCAGACTGAAAATTTTTTAAATGACATTTTTTTTTGTGTTTAGTTAATGTTGGCTGACTGCTTTGGAAGCTTAAGAGTCACACAATCCTAAGCATGACAGACTTCATCACAAACTGAGATGCATCATGTAAAAAGGCTGCAATCTCGGTTGA